GAGCTTTTCAAGGAGTTTGCTCATTCCAGTCCGAACCTACCCTTCACTGGGCAGATTGTCCATAGTCCTAACAGTAGGAAACTGCATACTTTTAAATGGGTGGAGAAGGGGACAAGCAGGTAAGGAACAGGGCAGGTGGAAGGGAACCTCGGTCTAATCAGTGATAGTATGAAAAGCTACATTTCCCCTTATTCACCCAAAGAAATGGACACTTATACAAAACATTTAGATAACACAGAAAAGGAACATAGAAGAAAAAGCAAAAATAATGTTTTCATCCACAGAGAACCACTATTAATGTATGGTTTATTCCAGTCTAATATTTTTGTGCTAAGACTATGTGTATATGTAAGTAACATTTAACAGAAAAATAGTACATATTCTCATTTGTAACCTGCTCGTGAAGTGTCTATTATAATGACCATTTTTCCATGTCACTGAATATTCTTATACCACATGATTTTTAATGGTTATGTAGAATTTCCTTAAAGAGAAAAATGCCTGAAATTTCTTACTGGCCTTTTGTAGTTTTTCTTGATCCATTGTTACTGCAGTTTCCTACTGTTTTACATTTAATAACAGTGTTTTTTTTTAATGGAGGCTACTTGCCAAGATAGAAACTTTTATGGATATGGGCCTGCCCAGTGCCCTAGGGGTTAAGTCTCAGAGCTATCACCACTAAGGCCTGAGTTCGATCCCTGGCCAGGGAGCTAACTCAATGGCACAGTAGACCTCTCCTGTCTCTCCTGCTGCTCCCCTCAGCAGTGTATTGCAGTAGACCTGCCAGTTCTGTTCTCTACCCTGTCTCTAGTGAATTGCTCACACCCCTCCCCCACCTCTGGTTGACACCCTAGTTCTTCTACGAACAAATAAATATTTTTTTTAAAAAGAAAATTTTCTGGATATGTCTCCATGATAAACTACCACCACATGTAACTTTATCAGATCAATGCACACTATTAGAGGATGTCTGAGGTCAAGAGTTATTCTAGTAATTGAAATAATTAAGATATCTTTTTTCTCTGTAGATTTCCCTGACTCCCCTTTTGGCATTAGTCATAGTAACTAATATTCATGTCATGTTTTCATGTAACCTCTGTCATTTCTGGGAAGAACATTTGTACAGCAATGAATTTTATCTAAAAGGCACAAAGCTGACTGCAAAACATATCTATTACAATGTCATAGATGGGAGTCATTCATTAGGTAGGTACTTACTGAGTGCCTAAAATAAATAGAGCAGTACCTTCCCAGGCAAGTATCCAATGATAGGTGCAAGCAATAGGGGCTGTCATTTTTTAAAGATAGGTGCCTGAAGGTTGGAGCAGAAAAGATTCATGAAAAAAAAAAAAATGCTAAGTCTTGAAAGGATTTACTAGAAAGAAATGAGCAGGTAGAAATGAGCTTTCAACTAAGGCCAGGAGTCAAGTACATTTACCCTTGAGAGGCACTAAACCTAGCTCACCAGAAATGTAGCGCTGGGAGTAAAGTCAGAAGGTGAGCTTTGGAAAAGAGAGATCTTGAATTCCAGACGTCAGCTCCACACTGAACATTATGGGAGGTGGCCTTTGAGCAGTAGATTGATCTGGTGCCCTGAACCCCTTGATGCGACAAAGTCAGTTCTTAGTCTTAGGTCCTTTGAAATCCCTATAGTAAAGACATTGAATTTATGCCGGAAACGAAAATTGTTTACCCATCATTCCTTTAGTCAAGTTCATTGATCAAAATCCACATGCAGAAACCAGCCCAAGAGTAAAACAGTCCAGTGATAAATTCATGTGTAGGGTCTGCAAAATTAACTGAAAATATTCCCGCAATTGGACCAGATTTTCTTTTTTGAAAATGGTATGATTAAGATGTTTTGATTTTAATTCAGTGAAGTTTTTCTTACTACTCTTACTGTTTTGATAAAGTTTCATGTCATAAAAAAATGTAACATTGTTGGAGATATTTTGAAAATAGAAATAAAATCCTATAACCAAATTCTAACATAACTAAATTTTATATGCCTTTCCAATTTTTCCAAAATGCTTATATCTTACACAGTTAAAATATATTGTATAGGGCCTCCCCGGTGGCGCAGCGGTTGAGCGCTGGGTTGCGAAGCTGCCCGCAGCCTCTGCAGCGCCGGTTCGATTCCCGGCTGCTCCCCGGCCACCGGAGGAGGGTCCCACGTGGCACGCAGACCTCTCCTGCCGCCCACTGCTCCCCTCAGCAGTGTACTTTGGTCCTTCTGCCTGCTCTGCACCCCGCTCTGGCTCTGGTGAATTCTCTCACCCTCCCGCGCTTCTGACTGTACCCAGTGCATGTATAAACAAAACAAACAAATAAACAAACAAATAAATAAATAAATAACATGCCTCTATAAAAAAATAAATCTTTAAAAAAATATATATATATATTGTATAAACATTGAAAGCATGTCAAGCTAACATTCTACAAATATTAACTGGTTATTAAATGTAGAGTGTACGATTGTGTTAATTATTTTGGAAACCAATATTTACACAGAATAAAAATTTAAAAAGTACAGAAAGGTAAAGAGTGTTTAATTTGTCTCCATACAGCCTATCATTAGTTTCTTCTATATTCTTCTAGAGACAACCTATGGTCAAACATATATATAAGTAATATGTATGTCTATATATACATACAAATGCATATACACACTATATATCCTCCATATTTCTCACACAAGCACTGGAAGAAAGATACGTGGCAACAGTTTGTACCAGCTTATCTATTACATATCAGTAGCTTCACATATATTCCTTGTTTGTACACACTGATTTGTACTTTTCTTTTTTCTTTAAAGATTTATTTTTATTTATTTATGCATACAAGAACTGGGGTGTAGGCCAGAGATATGGGGGAGAGGTGAGAGGCTTCACCAGAGACAGAGTGGGGAACAGAACAGACAGATTGACTGAAATACACTGCTGAGGGTAGTATCAGGGAGACAGGGGAGGTCTGCTGGGCCATGTGGGTTAGCTCCCTGGCAGGGGATCGAACTTGTGCTGCAGTGACTGCTGATAGCTTGATAGTGCTGTGTCTTTAACCCCTGCACCACCAGGGAGGCCCTGCACTTTGCTTTTTTCATATAGTAATATGATTTAGAGATTGTTCCACATCAGCACATATAGAATACTTCGTTCTTTTAAATGTAACAGTATTTTAGCCACTTCCTATAGATAGATCTTTAGATTATTCCTGGTTTTCGGTTAGTGTAAACAAAGTTCAAACAACTATCCTTACACTTTGCAAATTTATCAGTAGTATAAATATCTAGATGAAGATTTGCTGGGCAAAATAGAGTGTGCTTATGAAATTACAGTGGGTGTTGTTAAATTTCCTTCCAAAGACGTTTGCTGTTTTTATTCTCAACAATGTATATAAGAGCCTATTTCCCAAACACAGACCAACTCAACATATTTTTATCAGGCTAATGTTGTCTTGACTTAATTTGCATTTGATATAAAAATACTTAAACTTTTTATTTTTAACTCCTTTGAATCAATTTTTTTTTTCTGTAATTGGATAAGCAGGTTTCACCCATGTAACTGAAACAGCTACAGCCAGTACTAGAAGGTGGTAAACTGGTGAGAATGAAAAAGCAAGAACTTGAGAGTGTCTGCCCAGTAATGGGGATTGCAACGGTGTTTAATTTCTTTTTGCTTTGTTCCTCGTTTCCATTCCCATCAGGTGGCACTGAGGGCATTTTTTTCAGTTATCAGAATGTGAGGTGAGCTTAAAAGCCTTGCTTGGGAGTATGGGAATACAGAACAGAGCAGGAGAGGTTTGACTGTCTATATCACATCAATTCCAGGTACCTGTCCTTTTTCCTTAGCGGAACCCACACATCTGCAGAATCAGAGAGTAACAGAGAAATAACCTAAGAATTTACATTATTTACAAATTTGGTAAAATAAATTACAAATAACAAAAGAATTTAAGGGCTATTCGGTCTGGGAGAAGCTATTTCTTGCTATTACATTAACTAGAGGGATGCCGGGTGCCTACCCCAAATGCATGTCAGGTGAACACAGTGGAATCCAATTCTTGTTTTGAGAGTTTTTTGGAGAAAATGAGAGTACGTTGTGAGGTGTGCTTTGTTTGCAAATTAATTCTCCCAACCCATCTCCATTCATGATATATTTTGAGGAATGGGAGATCCCAAATTGGGCTATTGAATGTTCTACACCAAGACCCTGACTCACTCGAAAGACTTTCCAAAGACAGGGAAAAACAAAAAATCTCAACCTTCCCTCTCTCCCTGGCATTTGTAAGAAAAATCTGTATATTGCAAAAATACACGTCTGTCCTTAATGGGTCCTACTCGACTCTCTTTCATCGAGCTTTAGGTGTTAAAAAAAAAAAAAAAAGTGAGGCACAAGCCTTGGTGAGGTTAACAAGGAAGTGCAAAGCGCAAAATTTAGATCTGGGCCTGACTGGAGGCTCCAGATTTGCACATCAAATCCATTCCCACCCAGCCCGGGGAAGTCACGGCTCTTCTGCTCACTTGTTTTAAAAGCAAGCGGGTCTGAAAACCTCAAGCCAGCTCTTTGTATTCACTGCCCAGGAGTTACCCCTTCGCCACCCAAGGACTTAGAAAACACGGCTGCGGCGCCCCACTGCAGCCAGAAGGCGCGCGCAAGGAGCGCCCCCCGCGGTCCCCCGCGGTCCCCCGCCCGCCCCCGGATCCCCAGTAGATGCTCCCGGGATCGCCCTCCGCCCGCAGCTGCCAAGCCCGGCCCAGGAGCCAGGCCCCTCTCCAGCGCCCCCTCCCCGGCGCGCTGCGGCTGGCGCACCCCAGCGCCCCGCCTGACGCTGCAGCTGGGCCGGCGATTCGCCATTGGATTAAAAATAGCAGCGTCCCCTGCACTACCCACCCCTTCGCCCGCCCGCCCCAGGCCCCGGGTGCCCGCTGCAGCCGCGCGGCCCGTTCTCCCCGCCCGCCGCGGCTCCGCGCCCGTCCTCTGCGCAGCCTGCCGGCCCCGCCGCGGGCAGACCCAGCGCTCCGGCCCGGCCCGGCTCGGCTCGGCTCGGCTCCGGGGCGCGCCGCGACCATGCAGCGCCGGGGCGCCCTGTTCGGAATGCCGGGCGGCAGCGGCAGCAGGAAGATGGCTGCAGGAGACATCGGCGAGCTGCTGGTGCCCCACATGCCCACGATCCGCGTGCCCAGGTCCGGGGACAGGGTCTACAAGAATGAGTGCGCCTTCTCCTACGAGTCCCCGGTAAGTGAGGCTCGGGGCGCGCGCAGCCCCTCCGGGGAGGGTCGCCGTGCAGGCGGCCTGGGGTTGCCCGGAGCCCTGGAACTCCGCGGCACGTGAAGCTGGGGGGGTCGGGGGGTGGTGGTGAGAGATGCGCAGAGGCAGCTGGGGACCTCCCTTTCCACCCCCTGCCCGGGCGAAGTTGGTTCAGGGGCACTGCAGTTCGGCGTGCACTTAGCGAGCGCCTGCTGGATGCCCGGCGCTGCATTCCCTCTGGCTGCTGCAGCCCCAGACTGGGGCGCCTGAGTGGTGTGCTCCGCCAGCTTGTCCAGGCTGACAGGGCCCCAGGTCCTTGCAGCCTGCCCACAGCTCCGCCACTGTTTGAAAGGTAGATGGAATCAGAGTTCCCTGATCTTAAATGCACGTTGCAGATCGTTTGCATCCTCCCAGGGGCGAGAGCCGAGGGCGGGTAGATGCATGGGGTTCCCCCGGGCCCCCGGGACTCGAAGAGCCTCTTTCTTTCTGGAACTGTTTGCTTTGTACAGGGTTTTCCACTCCTGGGCATTCCTGATACGTTCTCTGAGCTTTTCTTCCCCCACTGTCCCTTCTCCCCAGTCCTTTTCTTCCCATCAGAGTGGCAGAAGATACCGTCGGTGCCTCCACTCGGGCAGCAGACATAGGGGGTCCACTGGATTGTTATGGTTTTCTTAAGCTATTTGCCATTCTCCACATGGAGTGAGATGCACGAGTACAAATTATTAGAAGTTCAATCGCTGGTCGCCACCTCACAGACTAGAAAGGGAAGTTAATTAAGACTGATCACTGCCTCCACCCAGGGCGGTTGGTGGCAGTTGTGTGTGTGTGTGACAAGGAAAAAGGGGCTGAATGCCCCTTACAAGAGTCAAAATGGGCTTCAAAGTGACTCAGCTGTCTGGCGTTTATCATGTCTTTTTGACAACCGGGTTATTTTTATCCACCCACTTTAGATCTCAAGTGTCACTCTGCAGGTCTTAATGCAAGGAGGACCTGCCTGGATTGGAAGGACCAAGGCAGTTTCACAATAGCCTAACACTTTTTATTCATATTATGTAGCGTATTATTGCAGGGGAAAAAAATCCAGAAGAGCGACAAATTGTCCAAAGTATTTTTACTTACTGTGTGGGTAGATTTAGGTTGGGTTCAGAGCGTATTTGTTTGGTATACCTTAGAACTGAAGAATTAGTATTGTTTCTGTGAGATTTGCTTTTTCTTTTGGGATAATTCCATATCCTTTGGGGGATGAAAATATCACCTATTTTTCTTTGAAAAGGACTGTGCAGAGTGGAAAGAAATGCTTGTATTTAATACTTAAAGATTGTGAGATCACATGACTTGAAGTGACTAGAACAGTGTCATTAAATTCTGTTATTCATAAAATATTTGAAAGTGTCATTTTTAGACTTTGTGTCCAGTGTTGGGGCAGGTTCCACTAATAGATTGTAAGGGTAGAGAGGGATGAAGATCCTAACTAACTTAACAGGCTGTGAACTCTAGGAAGAGTGTTTTAGGACAGTGCAGCTTGTGAAGTGGGTAAAACTACTTTTTCTATGTTTGATTTGGGTTGCTCTTCAAATTCTTCTTTTAAACTGTTTTTGAAATCTATAGTACAATATATAGTGTATGGCTGGTGTGGAAAAGAGATTATTTGAATTCACTTCCCCAAATAGTTATTGGGAACTTACTGTGTGCCAAGTACTATTCTAGATGCATCTTTTCCAATGATGATTTCATTCATATACAGTAGTTCCTTTGGGAAGACTGGGCTTATTTACAAGGCCAATGAATCAGTATATTTCATTATCTATGGTTCAGGAGAGGAAGAAAAAGAAGGTTTTATAATAAGTTATATTAAAGCACAGCACATTATAAAGTCAAATTGTTATAGGACAGGGAGAGGGGCAGCCCAAACCCCGCAAACCTGCCTATTCTAAATGGGTTCTGCCATCCGCCGCATCAACACAAAACATAGGAGACTTTAAGGGGAAGGAACTTTAATAAAACTAGGAAACAATACAGGTAAGGCAGAGTCTAGTTTCTAAATGAAGCACCCAAAGTTACCCGTCCCCTCGTGGGTAAAAGTCCATCCAAATGGGATTGGCCCAGAGCAAGGCCCCAAAGCCTGCCACGAGTCTAAAGCATCTTCCAGTGGGGACCCACAGAAAAGTGTCAGAAACAACCAGACAAGCCCGGAAGGAAAAGAGCAAAATCAACATCAAGATAAAAGCTGCCATTGTCACCTCCCCATGGGTCTCACCCACATCTGTGTCACCCAGTCCACAACCAAAAGACAAGCGCAGTTTCTTCACGTGTCTCTAGGCTCCATGCGCCTCCTCCAGGTCTCCTTCTGGCTCCATCCTGCTTCCTTCCTCAGTCTCTTCTGCAGCTTCCCTTCTTCCTGCTCAGATCCACCCTCCCTTGGGTGGGGCAGGGAACCTCCCCCTTTCCTGGGGACCACCCTGTTACAATCCCCCCTTTTAATTTTTATTCCACCATATCTATGGTGGCGGGACCACCCTGTTACAAAATCTTCTCCTGTGGTACTTATTTAACACTTCACCATGAATCCATTAAGGATTCTTGAGCACCTACTGTATACTAGTTCATAAATATATGATTGGAAGGACTGTATAGAGCAAAAGCCATCGCTGTAAGACACCAGACTTTAATCTGCAAGTGCCATAACACTGGTAGAGAAAAGACCAAAACCATTTAATGGGGGAAAAATCATCCTTGCTTAGATGATTTGGAAAGAAGTCATAGATAAAGATGAAGAGTATCAAAGGAGACCAACATTTGAGGCAAAGTAATGACAGGTGCAAACACATAAATGGCAACTGTTTTTTTTTATTTGCTCATTATTTATTTGGAAGATGATTTAATAAGCAGTGAGGTCAAAACCAAGTGGAGTGTGGAGGATGGGCACCTTGAAGGCCTACCAGTAGTTATGGAAAGCTGCCGGAGGGTGGGGTTAAGCAGCCAGGTGGATACAAAAGGCAGACACGTGGGCTTTGGGGATCCCCCATTTTGGCTCTCTGCCAGCTCGCAGCGTCCGTCCAGCTCTGAGGGTGACTTTGGGTTTCCAGTTCGTCGGATCGGGTAGGACGCATTAAAGACTTTATTTCCCTATTTTCTCCCTGAGTTGTACATTTTCCTTATTTCTTTTTCTCTTGTAAATAAACCTTTTATTAACCCTTTTGCGTGTGTCTGTAGTATTCATAAGTCCCTTTAAAGCGCGCGGGTGAGGACCCACAGCCAGGAACCCGTTTAATATCGGGGCTGCTCTATAACAGCTTGGCGCCCAACGTACAGTACAAGTACTGTGATTTAAAGTGGTGCTAAAGGAAGACTGACTTGACAAATTTTATTATGCACTATGTCTAGGACAGTGTGTCACTTTTGCTGTTCTTCAACTTGGTGTGTGTGAGTATAGCGTGGGACAGCATAACTCATTTTAGTGTCCCTTTCTTTTCTTTCTTCCAACCTGCGAGGGCTCAGCACCCAGCAGGTGCTCATGAATGGCTATTCCGGGACAAGTGGGAATTAATTTGTTCACCTTCTGGTTTGGTTTCCTCCCAGGCCCACCTCCCCACTTTGACCTGTAAGCTCCCACCTCTATGACTTGGCTCCTCTTGCAAGTTCTGTCCTGTGACCATCATGGTCCGTCCAACAACTGGTATACTTGCCAGGACCTCAAAGGATGTCTAGGAAATATATGAATTGCGTGAATTCCAGGTTCTGAAAATAGTAAGGATGTCACATGTGGGAAAGGAACCATGTGAGATTATCATAGAGAATATGATAACATTGTTGATTGTGGGGGACTAACCTGAAGGAGGCCGGCAGGGTGTGAGTCTGTTGTCCAACTGTATAACTTCTCTGTGCCCCAGTTTCTCCATCCTTGAAATAGGGACAATAATAGATCCTACCTCATGGGATTGTTTTGCAGATTAAATAAATTAATATATAAAGTGTGCTTGTTGTAGAGCAACCCCGATACAAAACGGGGTGCCTGACTGTAGGTCCTCACCCGCGCGCTTAAAAGGACTTATCAATGCTCTACTGCAGGCACACGTGAAAGGTTAATAAAAGGTTTATTTACAAAGGGAAGGGGAAATGAGGAAATGTACAGCTCAGGGAGAAAAGTGGGAGACAAAGTTTTAAATGCGTCCTACCCGATCCGCCGATCAGGAATCCCAAAATGGCGCTCTGAGAGCTGGCTGCGAGCCAGGAGCGGTGAAGCCAGGAGGCGAGCGATCGCGAGCCAGAGAGAGCCCAAGGCCCACGTGTTTGGTTTTTTATATCCAACCTGGCTGCCCAACTCCACCCTCAGGTCCCAGCCACCCTCCCTTGGTGGTGATGGGATTTGTCTTTCCCAGAGTCTTGATGGCTTTAGTCTGGAGTGGGGGTGGAGTCCACAAAGTTAATCCTGTATGGGATTAACTCAGGACATCACTTCCCCCTAACAATTCCCCCCTATTGTAACAGGGTGGTCCCCAGGAAAGGGGGAGGTTCCAGGTTCCCTGCCCCACCCAAGGGAGGGTGGAGCTGAGCAGGAAGAGGAGAAGCTGGAGAAGAGACTGAGGAAAGAAGCAGGATGGAGCCAGGAGACCTGGAGGAGGCACATGGAGCCTAGAGACACGTGAAGAAGCTGCGCTTGTCTTTTGGTCGTGGACGGGGTGACACAGATGTGGGTGAGACCCATGGGGAGGTGACAATGGCAGTTTTTATCTTGATGTTGATTTTGCTCTTTTCCTTCCGGGCTTGTCCAGTTGTTTGTGACCCTTTTCTGTGGGTCCCCACTGGAAGATGCTTTAGACTTGTGGCAGGCCTTGGGGCCTTGCTCTGGGCCAATCCCATTTGGATGGACTTTTACCCACGAGGGGACGGGTAACTTTGGGTGCTTCATTTAGAAACTAGACTCTTTGCCTTACCTGTATTGTTTCCTAGTTTTATTAAAGTTCCTTCCCATTAAAGTCTCATATGTT